ATTTTTGACTGGAGCCTTTCATGGCTGCTCAAACTGTTGTCTATGACTAAGTCATTTTAAAATGCCAGTTAATCAATCGTTTTCTCCACCATGCTCTGTCATCTGCAAAAAGATGAAAAGTCACCAAATCGCGCCCTATTGTTTCTTTACTGATATTTTTCATTAAATTATCTACGTTTTGATCCCTCATTAGTATACAAACAAACCGACATTTATTTTTGTGCATGACGAATTCATCTCTAAGTTTCTTATAGATACGAACTAATTTACAACAGAAGTAACATTTTGTTGATCAACTTCTAATGTTGCGTGTAAAGAGAAAAAATATGTCAGTTTCAATTATTATTCTTTCGAATTTTTAACTGTTTCTCATTTGTCCAATCGATAATGGACGTTTTAACGAGAACGATCAAATCATCCTTCCCGTTGATTGGCAACTAATTTCATTTGGCGCAGTTAGTTAGCAGGTTGCATTGCAGGTTAGAGTGCCAGGTCAAAATGCTACGTGTGGCACGAATATTCTCTTACTTTCAACTAATACGACCTTAAGCAAGCAATTTACCCCTACTGTGCTTCGGCGCTAACAACGAAAAGGCTGGTAGCAGGTCTTTGATGTAGGAACGATAGAGACAAAATTGTGCTTAGTTTCATGCTAAAACATGCGAGCAATGGAGTTATGCTGCCTAATGCATTTATCTTATGGCTGTAATACGTTTTACTCACCTTATAGTTAATATATATATACGTGAATTAAAAACAGTTTAACGTTTTTGTAAAATTTTTCAATTTCTTATGCACTGTGTATCAGTCAATTCTGATTGGTCTCATTTGAGTTTCAGTCAGGCAATAAAATATATAGCTGTGAAAATCATATTATGCATGCAAATCTTGGAATATTGTATATTTCCGCAAAAAATGTAGTGATAAAACTGACTGTACGATCAGAAGGATTGATTTGCATTTCTGGCAGTTTTACTGTATGGTATGTGGGTGTAACGGGTTCTTCTTTGCTAAAATGGAGGTACGCAGTTATGGTGTTTTGGTAAAATATTTTGATGAGATACGAATCTCGATATACCTATCATCCTGTAATTTATTACCGATGAAAGCGGAAGGTAAAGATTGAAGTGTCGCTGGATTAATAAAAAATGTCTGTGTTATGACAATCAAGTTAGACAGAAACCTACATCAGAGACGTTTTTTCATTTTGGATTAGTCACACGTTTTGACTGTCATAAGGATTGCACATATGATGTGAATGTCGTTTATAAAATGAGAATTCGACGGTGTGGCAGGCCGGTAGAAAAGTTAGCTTGAAGTTACGGTGATTTACGAAGAATATCAATCGGGGTTCAAAAGTGTGATTGCGCTTTGTCGCGTAGTTTTCGTCTGTTATTGTCACAGCGCTCGACGTCACATACTTTGCTGATGAGTCATGCACTTTCATTGAGCATTAGTCATCGCGGTGGTCGTCGTGAATTGCTGTTATGCTTGTTTGTGGTGAACGGTGCCGCTGCCACCACCACCTTCGAAAGGCTCGTACATCGTCGTGACCATGTTGAATGATGTTCCGTTTCTGTACGCCGATCACTGTTACACGACGACAATGAATCCTCCTCCACCTCCTCCTGCTGCACCTCAGCAGCAGCCACCGGCACCGCTGCCGCCGCCGACGACGACCACTAACGACAACGTGAAATCCATCACCACTAACGGGAATGAGTCAGCGGCGATGACCAAGGCAAACGCCGCCGCCACGGCCACCGAAAAAGACAGACAACACATGGAGGAGCAGCAGGCGAAGTTGACGCAGGATTTTCAGGTAAAAGTCATCTTCCGGCGCTTTACTTTACACGTTGTTCGCTCGGTTGTTGTTTGCGTCGCCCCCGAGGCCAAAGGTCATCTCTGCTGATCAGCCGATGATCACTGGACGGACGAACCATTAGAGCCAGTGACAGCCTCATACACCCGCCAAACAGAATCTTAAATGACTCCGACGAGTCTGATTCGTCGTCGCGAGGGGGCGACTGTTAGCGCTTTAAGCTGACGTACTTAGTAGCTGCCGTTACGTAGGCGAATCGACGTTTTGATTTCTGTTCTTTCCACACTCGCTTCCTTCGTTCTAATTTCCGGTGTAAAGTCACGGTTTAAAGTTTAAAAAAAAGTTTTATGACATTCGATTATGCAGAGATTGTCGCGTTGGTAGAAAAACACGTGGTTGATCGACCACCGCTGTACTTCAGGAGCGGAAGAAGTCTTTGACGCTCGACTTTTCGAATCCGGAGGCAGCCAAGAAAACCATCTCGACGTCGGACGTGATCTCCTTGCTCGGCTTGAAGACGTCGGTTGGTCTATCGCCGGAAATCGAACGGTTCTTCACTCAGAACGTGGTGGTGTCGAACACCCCGACTCCGACACAGTTCATCTTCCCAAAAAACGTCACCGCCGAACAGGAGCAGTACGCACGCGGTTTCATCGACGCCCTGAACCAACTGCACCAAATGCGCGGTTGCATCCCGATGTCCAACCTGCTGTCACCCGGCTTCATCACCAGCACCGTCGTGCAGCCGGAGAATAACGAAGACTCGAAAGTAAATGATGCACGTAAGCAATCCGTTTTCGTTCGAGTTGTTTCTCTTGTCGTCCGTTCACTCATTTCTTCTCCACCATTCGTCTTGCACTTCCTCACCACGTTCTTCACTCTCAACCCATCGTCATTTTCATGACAGTGGCTTCTGTTGGTGTCTAGTGTGCGTCCCTCGTGCCTCTCTCCTCATCATTTCTGCTCTTTCGTAACTCTTTCTAAATCTCTGCTTTATCCATTAATTTCTGTGTTTGTATTCGCGTTGGATTTTGTTGTATTCTGTACTGCTGTTTTTTTGCAACTTTTCATTTCATTTCAGTACTTGCTTGGCCGACGCGTGAGTTGCAGTACGAAGCCGCCCGCACTGAGCCAGGACTATTTGCGTCTAACAGTACGTCAGATGTGTTCATCCTGCGTCGCATTGCGCACGATGTTTTGCTGTCTATTTCGCGCTTAACTTGAAGGCATAATTGAGAAGTGCATCTTAGTGAATGCAAAGCAAATGATTTCCTACTTTCATTGTACTTCCGTTTCTCAAGTATGTCGAACTGCTTGAGTGGAATGGCCCTAACGATTACTTTACTATACCGATGTGACTAATGCATGTCACATAAGCCAGAGTGAAACGTTGGCATGATGTCGCACCAGAAGCAACTGTAATATTACTGTATATTATATGAATACTACTGTTATATGAATTTGTAATATAACTGTGCATTATATGTATAATACGCTTACATTATGCGACATTTGCATTTATAAAAAATATTACTTTTTTTAAATTTAAAAAAATTAACCTTTATTCATTGTGCTAATTTTTGGTCGGCTGTCAGGCGAGTCATGCTAAATGGCGACCGTAAAGCGAAAGCATCAGACAGCGTCGCAAGGTGCCGTCTCCCAGCTTTTAGCATGATCACACTAAAGCGCCATGCTGGTCCAATTATTCATACCTCAACGACCTGTTAACCCTTTACCAAT